TGATACAACATTTTCCGGCAGTCAGGAGATCCATATGGAATAGGATAGTTCGATTGAGTAGAAGAGGTCTGTTGACATTCCAGTAGCAAGGTTACAACGAATATCTGTACTTCCTAAACAAATGAAAAGTCAAAAACATGAAATGGTACGTAGGCAACTGCAAATACTAAATTATACACGGATCATACCTGTGCAGTTGTGCAGCGCATCTCTATATGTACTTTCCCGTCAGATTCGCTATACATTCAACTGTGTACAGTCAACGCAGGATATCACTTTGCTATATTTCAATGTTTTTAACATTTTTAATGTTTTAAAAAAAACATTGAGTTCACTGATCTTGAATTATGTTTAATTGATTTTCCTAGTTTAAAGTTTTTTCAATTAAAAGGGTTGTAATGCGCCTTAAAAACCATATTGAAAAGATTAAAGACTGTGCCTTCACGAAATCAGTGGTTGGTTTACATAAAACGTAGAAACAAGTGTTGATTTTTTAACCTTAAAACACACAAGCCTTCGGATCACATATACACATACCAATCTATAAAAGTTATTTGGGAAAAGCGAATGGGATTCATGTTATTTTAAAAACCAACCATGCACAAATAAACTTACTTTGAGAATATCAGAAGGAATATCACTGCCTCCTTTCAAAATCACCGTATTCAATGCTAACGAAAGAAAGAAAAAACAACTCACAAACCAAAGAGGTAGAAACAGTGCTGTATTTGAGAAGGTCCTCCTAGAGGAGTATCATATCAATTCGACCTATTGGGGTCCTTACCATGCCATGCGCACTGCCGCTTCCCTCTCGTTGGCCCTGCTAAATGGAAGTGAAATGCTGGAAACCTTGCATGCACGAAGTTTATGTTTCTACATATAGTTTACCTTGGAGACCAGATTGACAAAGGTCTTGATTCGCATGATAATCTGTTTTCTCCTCCGCTAGGAAAGAATAAGTAGAAGATTAAACATAGTATATAATAAAAGTAACAGGTAACAGGTTAGACATATATAATTTAGACATGTGCATAGCAGTTAATTGTATTGTGAAAAATTAAAATTCTTTAGATGCTGTTTTTATTTATAAGTAAGATACTCTTATTATCCAACAAATTATAATCGTACAACATACGGATCTAAACCTAAAAACCTAAATAAACCCATTTTTTAAAAACCTGCATCGAGCCACCTCAAAAAATCTTACAAATATTAACTGAAAATCAGCAAAACGAGATGTCGATTGTGACCAACCAATAACTAAATCACTATAATTGTTTTCATGACACCATATCATATGAATTTTCGTCAGAGTAATTATTGTGGGATTTGTAATATGAATAATATGATCAATAAATACATTGGTAGCTTACTTCGATTCAGTTGACTAACATCGTCTTGGACACGTTTTCGCTTCGCCTGTAAAGAACACTTACTTTAAACAAACCATAAATGGGCGGAAGAACAAGGGTACTGCAGTAAATACGAAACATCACTAGTGGTGGCGGAACAGTTTTTATTTTGGCGGGCTAATTTCCATTAATTTTCGCTAAATATTTTCCAGGAAATGTTGGCGACGGGGGGCGGGAATGATAAAAATTTTTAATACACCAACCGTTTCTCTCTAACCCTTTCCTCATTTTTTTTCCGAGACAGCGGGGGGTTAGCCCCCTTTTTCGTACTTTTGGGGGCTTCAGTCCCCCTCGATCTCGCACCCAGGCTCTCTTCTCTACCGAGAAGCGTAGGCAACCTCGTACCCAGGGTTCTCTTTGTGCTGGCCGCGAGCTGGGTACGAGGTTGAGGCCCCCTACCTGCCTGGTTCCGCCGCCTTTGAACATTACAACAATATATTAAGGTTGTATGGTTGAATTTCTTGGTGTTAATGACGTTATTGGACCGTGGTCAAATATATATCCCTAGTGCTGACCTTTTTTCCATGAGAGGGAGTTTTTGACGTAGAAACTGTTGGTGCAAGTAACTATACAATGAAAAATGTACGATTTTATAATGAGGATACTGTAATTTGCTTAAAATCAGTAAAAAGATCCTGTAAATGGTCGTTATCAAGTATCAAACATAACCTGTCGATGAAATGATATTTCATACCTTGGTTGTGGTAACTCGCGGTTTAATATCTTCAATTACGTGACGAATGATATTCTTTATCTTCTCGCTATTTTCACCCACAGATGATGTTATGTGTACCAAATATTGCACACAATCAAAAACTGCTGAGCGAAGTTCACTACAAACACCCACAACCACAACAAAACGCATTAATATAATTCCTAAAATATTCCCCTAGAGAATGAATTTGTGGGGGAAATGAGCAACATTGGATGAGAGAGGAGGCGAAAGCCTAATTTAGTGAGTTGAATCAATGTGTAAACAAACACTTTGTTTACATTTTGAACTCAGTGCTACAGTTGTAAAATATGATTAGATATATATTATCCTGAATTTTTAACACTCTTCTGGTTCGCTATGCTTGTAAATGAATACAGACTAGAGATTCAATTCAAGAAAGTTCGGAAGGTGCGAAATATTAATAACATTCCAATGGTCGGGTCCCGACCATTGGAATGTAGGCCTGCGCAGAACGGACTTTACAGCATCTTCAACAGTTTTGTCCATAAATGCATATAAATCTATCACAGAGGACGCCAAGAATTGAAATAAAAGGGATGGGTGTGCAAAAGAGTGGTTAGCTTTTTATAGTCTTCGTCGTTATACATCTTCGGCTTCGGTTCCTGCCGGAGTGTTTATGGTTGCGTTTTTCGAAACTTCTCGATCCGGTTAGGTTTAAAAATATGTCTATAGTTTTCGCTCGAAATTTCATCTACAAAAACCCTTCACCACTCAGTTGCACGCGTTGATGGTTTGGACACCATCTTGGTTGATTTCTCTATATACTCTTCAGCCTGGCCCAAACTAGGGACCACAATACGGTAAAACAGGCCGAGAAATAGTAAAATAACTCAATATACTGTACTGTATAACGGTGAAGTAAAATTTAGAGTCAACGAAGATGGCGCCAAATAACACATAGTGACGTCATGTGCAAAGGTATAGTGTATAACTGGTATTTAGATTGAAACCTTTTACTTTGGTTGTCAGAACCAAAATGTTTTGAAGAACATCATACCTGCACTTACCTATACTTTTGCTGGAAACCATGGACTTTCTCGCTACACTCGCTCCATGATAATTCCAATAAAAGCATTCGAGTGATGATATGGTGGTATGGTAATAAACTCATCCCACAGCTTCAAAGTAAGAATAATGGATCTTATGAAAGGATCTTATGAAAGTCTATTAACGACTGACAAGGAGTACTGCTTGCTGGTGGAAGGTCTATTAAAACAATATTAAGAGAGAGCTCATGCATTAATACTAGTTTTGCCTGCGTGTTCAAAATGTGCCTCCAAAATCATATTTTAGGTTTTAAATGGTAAATATTGTTAAAAAGTCAGGATTCTAAAATGTGCGGCCCTGTAGCCGCACAAATTCAAAAAGTACCAATGGTAGCCAAATGCTAATGGTAGCCAAATACACCCTTTCGATAATTACGTCATTTGGCCTGGGAGCCTTGCTCTCAAAAATCGTGAGACAATCACCTTGCGTAATTTACTAATGAGAGCGAGGCTCCAAGACCAAAAAGTATGTGTGACGTAATGATCGAAAGGGTGTATTCCTATTCCGGATGGAAGTCCAGGGTGTATATTCGTGCGCAACGTACACCTTTGCAACAATTACACGTCCAGTTATTTGAAGGTCAGTCCAAATATATATTAAAGCATATTTAAATTTTAAAGCATTCAAAAGACATTTACTGAATTCGTATATGTTTTTTTACGTTCATAAAATTATTCTGGGCGTGTGGCCCTATCAAATTACAATAGTAACAATGTTACACACTAGTTTATAGCGTTTTTATAGTGACACTTCAGTTTATAGCGTTTTATCAGGCGAAAGAGGCCTGTACTGCACCATGATTCTGGTTTATATATAGCATGAAAAGAATAAAGGAAACATTGCAGAATAAATTCAATCAAGTTGCTATAAATTGGGGCTGAATATAGACTCGTATGTATAAGTCCTATCCAGGCCCGTAGCTGGGGGGGGGGGGCCTGGGGGGGGCAATGCCCCCTCACTCACTCGGTGTGGCAGTGCCCCCCAGTGCCCCCCCACTCGGAAATTGGGTATGAAAAATTTAGAGAAAGGGCCTGGAAACAAATTGTAATAATGGAAAAATTCTGTAAAATTTGTGGAAAATTTTGTGATTTTTGAAAAATTTTGTTAGGTTTCGGAAAAATTGAGTGTGTCCGGAAAAATTGGTATGTCCGGAAAAAATTTTTGACCCCTAAAATGGTACACTGACCGAAATTTTTTGGCGACGGGGGGGGGAGGAGGTCGACAAAATAAATTCCGGAAAAAATTTTTTCCGTCCGTTACATTTTTTCTGCAGTGAGTGCCCCCCCAGAAATTGAGAGCCAGCTACGGGCTTGGTCCTATCTAAACATGGGATGGCATTCATTATCTATACAATAAAGAAACATGTCTCAAACTAAGATCAAGTTTATAATTTTTAAATCATATACCTTGAAATGAGAGTTGACAAAAACTCTATAGCTGACAGATGGACAGCGCAAAGACTGGACTTTAACAAAACTGACTCTAGTGCCACGTTATTTTTCTACAGAAAAAATGAATAATATATGAGGGCTTCTTTATTTTTCAAAATCAGTCAGGATTGAATCGAAGAATATGCAATAGCTCTTTTAATAATCGAGGAGCCAATGTTATTAGAACCACCATGCAGAAACCCATGCACTATTTTTTTTCGGTAAAAATTATGCATACAGAGCGTTTGCACATGACGTCACAGCGGCCATGTTGGTGTTCCAATTCAAAAGAATTTTGATTAGACTCTTTTGTCTGAAACAGCAACATGGCTGCCATGGCTTTTGTTGAGTTGGTCCCTGGGGAATGAGTGCAAACGCTCTATACAGGGTGAGTAAAAAAAAACTGACACCTTTGTTATAATTTGAATATCAAAGGTATCAGTTTTTTTTTACTCACCCTGTAGACAAATTTGGCCAATGATTGTTTATACCCAAATCCAATTCACAACTTTAGATAACTCACATGCCTAGTTACTATTGTTCTAGTTTACAGAAGCATAGAATAGAACAAAGGTAACTAAGCTTTAATTTAGAATTGTCTACATGAGTGAATAACTCTTATACATAATTCCAATTCATGCTTAGTTACATCATGGTTGTTATAAGACATGGTTAGGAAACCCGGCAAACGTCAAAGAAATTACGCTAAAACAAACATGGAGGTTGAACAGTCTGTTTGACCCTGCACATATTGGTTTTAATCAATGAGAATTGACCAAACGATGTAACACAAACATTCTCCAACGAAAAATGGTAGTAATACTTCGTTATTGGCAAAATATGCCGTAAGATATAGCTCTGGTAGGCAAAACAAACAGTTGGTACCCATTCCTTACGCCAACTGTCTGAACTGACTATTGTCAAAACAATAGAAAGACAAAGGATTTTTCAACCGTGACCCTGCACAAGGTACACAATCACCTAAAACAAAGGGTTTCCAAACCATGTCATATATATTAACTGAACGTCGTCGAAGCGAATAGTTTTCATAGTTTCAAGCAGGAACTCAAGCGCCACATGAATATTTACTAATTTGCTAATTTACTAATTTACTAATATGTCTATATCTTAGTTTACTAATATACACTCATTAATGTACATACTATTAACACTTTTTATCTACTAATCCTTTCTAAGGGGGTTCTTATATAGGGTTAACCTTCCGATCCTCCTGCAAGGACCTACCTCCTGTATATAGATCGTAGGTACCTTGATTAAATATTTTGATTGATTGATTGATTAACTATGGTTACATTAATACATTTGTCCTATTTTATGCTTTTGTAAACTAGAACAATAGTAACCAGGATTGTGAGTTATCCAAAGTTGTCAATTGGGTAGCAACGACATAAACAACGTTAGCCAAATTTGTCTATTCTGCATGGAGGTAGTTTTGGTGTACGGTCACGATGAACTAAATATTCCTCTTTGTACTCGTGTTATACGATGTTGAGGATCCTCCATAGACGGATTTTCATATTTATTACTGGGGTGGTGCCAGAAATTTTAGGGGGGTGAGCCGTGAGCAGGTGACTGAGGCAACACAAAGTGTCACCAAACCCCAGTAAGGTCTATATTCTAGGGGTGGAGCACTAGAGCCGCGAGGGGGAGTCTAGAGAGCAGAAAACAAAGTATCCCAGAAAAAATTTGAAAAAATCATGATTTCTAGCTTCGAAAAAAAGTTTTTTGAAGTTGTCAATTTGTCATATCAATGGATTTGGCATGTCCGATTGTCTGTTAAGACTTGAGAGAGTTAAAGACTTAAAGTTAAATGAACCTTTAAAAGTGTAAACCCAATAGACCTTTCCAAGGTTTCTACCGCCATATTGCAAGGGGTGCAAAAACATTGGGGCGAGCTCGCGGCCACCAATGGCGCTCATACTATTTCCTATTGAGTGAGTGAAAATTACCTTTTGACATTTTGTCCTTTTTCTCAAAAAATTTCTATACAAGCATATCCAATTTTTATTTTTAGATAATCGCTGGGTTTTTTCTGATATGTGGCCGAGATTTCTTGCTAATCGAAGGACAGGAAGTAATAAAAAACGGCGGCTTTTGTTGCACAACTTGACCGACGTTTGAGCGATGATTCTTGTTATTTCGTTTGTTTAACCAATCTTTGGAAGAATATTTGTCCATTAAGTGTGTAAGTCCTTTGGTGTCCGCCATTACTACTGTTTATATTTGTATATTTGTACAAAAATCATCGCTCAAATGTCGGTCAAGTTGTACAATAAAAGCCGCCGTTTTTTATTACTTCCTGTCCTTCGATTAGCAAGAAATCTCGGCCACATATCAGAAAAACCCCAGAGATTATCTAAAAATAAAAATTGGATATGCTTGTATAGAATTTTTTTGAGAAAAAGGACAAAATGTCAAAAGGTAATTTTCACTCACTCAATAGGAAATAGTATGGGCGCCATTGGTGGCCGCGCGCTCGCCCCAATGTTTTTGCACCCCCTGCAATATGGCGGTAGAAACCTTGGAAAGGTCTATAGGCCAATACACAATATGCTTTTACTTTTATAAAGTCATTGACGTTGTGTTGTTTGAATCTGAGTACAATTTATGATGCAACTCCGATGTAAATAATATTTGGGGCGTAAAGATTAAATCTAGGCAAGTCTATTTCCTAAAAGAATTAAAAACTAAAAATAGTGTTCGTAAAAATTCCAAACATTCCTTGCGTGCAAGCTATTCGCATGACAAGGCACTGCAAACTCTATTCAGGGAAGATAATATAGAGTTTCAAAACTTTACAATTGCTCCAATAAACCAGTGAATGCAAGTTGCACTGTCTTTTTCTGTTCGAGTGTACTCCTACGTTTATTTTGTAACATCAACACTCTGCACGTTGGAGTGGACTATTTAATTATTTACTTATTATGCCGAATATTGGGGGGGGGGGTTGAAAATTTTTTTAGAGGGGTGAACATTTTGTTTGGGGGGGTTATAGCTAATATTGGAGGGGTAGCACCCCCCTGCATCCCCCAGAAAATCCGTCTATGGGATCCTCCTAGTTATAAAACTGTATGTCCTAAGTGTAATTCTGTTCGTACTCTCACAACGTCATTATTGTGCTGTATGTATGGAACTGTTAGTACTGTTCTTTGTTGTTTAATATATGTATTGACAGTATTGTACTATTGTTGTTATTCATTTATTTGGGCCCGCATGCAGTAATTGGCAATTACGATGTTGCGGGTACCCTGCCACTATATGTAATATGTACAAGGCGAATTAAATAAATCTAAATATAGTGATTGTCTGTGCTGTTTTTTGTAGCCAAACAACACATTTCATACAATTGACAAGTTTTCGACTTCGCGAGCAGTGTAAAGTTTAAAGTATATTTAAAGTAGTACCGCATACAATAGTGTGTACACGTATAATGATTTACTTACAATTGACTTCTCATTGACTGCAAGAATAGCTTGAATAATTTTTATTGTGCTATCCAATGGGATGTTAACTGGTTTAGAGAATTCGTTTCTATAGGAAATAATCGAGTTTATTGCTTTAGAACGTTATTACTAAATACGCGAGCTAGGCACTCGGCAAGTGAGTGACGTTCGGGCAACGGATCATTCAGAGTAATTTTATGCGTATGTCTATACATATTGAGAGAACCTTTTAAACTGCGGTGTATGCGACAGCAAGCCATTTTCTAAAACTTTCATATCTTTGATAATTATTGTCAACTTTATATAGACCCAGAGCGAGAGGGATTCGTCGAAATATTATTAGGAAGCATCACTCTGAGAATTTTGACACCGATGACCGTCATGCATTCCAATGTTGATCGTTTTCAGTGTAGATTCCGATTAATGTTGACTTTTTTCGGTAAACATTCAAATTACTGACAACTTTGCAATACTAACAGTTTTCGGTGAAATGTTAGAGAGGTTCAGATTTTGACTTCCACTATCTCTACGGTTACTAATGCGGTCGTGGAAGTCAAATCTGAACCTCTCTATTAACCGTCTTTCAGTAAAACTAGGGAGGAGGACAACACTGGAAAGATAAGACGTGTCCTTTCCTGGACCTCGCAGTGAGTCGGAACACTTTCGAAGTGATAGAGTTATTTATCAAGTCTCAAAAACTAAATTAGTTTCATTTGGTGAAGTTTAGAAAATAGAAAGTGTTATGTGCCATATGGAATATTTTTGACACACTATTTGTGAAGCATTTAGGAAAGAAGCTCCGAATCACGTGGCAATGCTGTAGGGACGTACCTGAGCATTAAATCCAAGCATTTCAACAAAAATTTAATTCTCAAAACACATGTTTCAGTTCTCTGAGGTTCAACAACAGGGATAGCCTTGAAGTGCAATGCCTCTGAATCTACTCGATATGTAGAACCTACAAATAGTTTGTACTTGTAAGCGGCAATGAAGGTATGTTATAAGTACACGAATTGGGGGAGGGGTAAAAACGGGGTAAGAACGGTCTTCTTCAGTTGTAAACCAATTATATATGGGGTTTGGAGTATATATACACTGTACACGAAAATCCTTGAAGACTGGTTTATATACAGAGTGCTATGAGCGCACAGAACCAACTACGTAGTTCCTTAGTTCGATCATAGCACGTTGTATAAATCAAACTGGCCTTTCTCACGCTCGCTTTTTCCGCCATTTTGGGGCTACAGCCTCCCCCAAGTCTGAGAGTGCACGTTCTGCGACTTTTTAGCACTCAAGTTGTGCGTATATAATGGTAAATTCACAGTTACAACTTTGAAAAGTCGCTTTTCACATTGTCCGGATTGTCTATATTCTCTGACGTGGGAAGTGGAGTAATTGGTTTGCTGTCTGAATTAGGTTCGCCGATGGCGTGGTGAACGCTCACAGCACTGTTAAGCACGCCCTTGAGCACGCCCACTGTTAAGCACGCCCTAGTGCCAACAATGAACGAAATTATACTATAAATGCATGTAATTCATTTCGCTCGTAACCAGGCGCGCTTTAGCTCTACCTTAAAAATGATTCCCTCAGAAACGTTACGTGTAAATCAGATACTGTATCTAAAATGATCATTCACATTGAATAAATCTTTCAAAATATTGCCTTTTAAATAGCTCGCTACAGGAAGAATTACAAAAATGGCAATTCGCCAAGTGAAACAAGTGGCACGTAGGCTAGTATACGATAAGCAAATAAAAATTAAGAATATTCATAAGCGTAGGGGGCTGATCCTTTCTAGGGGGTCACTCGAAAAGTTGCCCGAACGTTTGAAACCAATACGTGAGAAATGATGTTGTATGCAAATATAAATTATAATAATTACATACCAGTTTCATAATTACTGTAAAGTTCACCAATCACGGGGGAAAAAGTGCTCAAGATTTTCTTCCATTGAATTTCCCATGATGCTGTTTGTTTGTCTAGACCAGTACCAGAACTGCTGCCACA